GTTACATACATGCACAAACACACACATAGGCCTACTGCTACTATGGCCGCTATCTGTGTACATCCTAAGTCTTTATTAAGTGCAAACTAGGCATGCAAGTATGGGGGGATAGAAGTGATCTGGGAAAGATCTGATGCTTTTAATAAAGATGTATATTACAGATGAAGCTGTACTCATGGCTCCATCAAGATCCTGAGAAAGACTCACCTTTGTCTGGTGCAACTGGTGAAGTCAAAACTCTGCCCAAGAAAAAGTTGACATGCCACTCCAAAGCCAAATCTGGAAAACCCTTATACACATTTAGAAGTTGGGTATATTAATGCTGTTCTGGCACATCCTTCTAAATCTCTCTAGGTGGGTGTCTTAATCTGATCTTGTCAGTCAGAACATGGCTAATCCTGCCAGTCAGCAATGTTTTAGATTGTGTAGGCACTAAAATAAAGGTTTGTATTTTGGGACTTTAAATGAACAACCACATAATTGTCTATTATGTTTGGCCAATTTCTACTGACAACTTTTTTTTAGCCATTCCCCATTTTATAGTGATAATAGCCACCTGAAGGAGTGGTGGTGGGTGGATGCTGGAGAGTGTCTGATTGTCCCAGTGAATGATGATACAAGATGATATAGCAAAGCTCATAGGAGCAATATGACAGAAAAACAATAACCATTAATAGGCTGCCATTGAGCCTTGCAAAGTCAACTAGCAGAGGATGCTCATGCGTCACCCTTTGCTCCATCTCTGGGGGAAAAAAACCAAAATTTCTTACAATTTGTCATGAACAAACCAAAGGTGGGTGAGTGGGAACTGCAGCTTCACAGAGATCAAAGTGAAGTAGCTCCTTCAGGAATTTGGCTCTCGGTATCATAAAAGGGACGTGGTGGCGCTGCAGGTTAAACCACAGAAGCCTCTGTGCTGCAAGGTCAAAAGACCAGCCATCATAAAATCGAATCCATGCGACGGAGTGAGCTCCCATGGCTTGTCCCAGCTCCTGCCAACCTAGCAGTTCAAAAGCATGCAAATGCAAGTAGATAAATAGGTACCACCTCGGTGGGAAGGTAACGGCATTCCATGTCTAGTCATGCTGGCCACATGGCCATGGAATCTGTCTACGGACAATTGCTGGCTCTATGGCTTTTCATATGAAACGCAAGACTGGATAAATCCAAAGCTGGAATTAAGATTGCTGGAAGAAATATCAACAACCTCAGATATGCAAATGATACCACTCTGATGGCAGAAAGTGAGAAGGAATTAAGGAACCTTGTAATGAGGGTGAAAGAGGAGAGTGCAAAAAATGGTCTGAAGTTCAGCATAAAAAAAAACCTAAGATGACGGCCACTGGCCCCATCACCGCCTGGCGAATAGAAGGGGAAGATATGGAGGCAGTGACAGATTTTACTTTCTTGGGCTCCATGATTACTGCAGATGGTGAGAGAAGCCACAAAATTAAAAGACCCCTGCTTCTTGGGAGGAAAACAATGACAAACCCAGACAGCATCTTAAAAAGCAGAGACATCACCTTGCCGACAAAGGTCCACATAGTGAAAGCTATGGTTTTTCCAATAGCAATGTATGGAAGTGAGAGCTGGACCATAAAGAAGGCTGATCGCCGAAGAATTGATGCTTTTGAATTGTGGTGCTGGAGGAGACTCTTGAGAGTCCCCTGGACTGCAAGGAGAACAAACCTATCCATTTTGAAAGAAATCAATCCTGAGTGCTCACTAGAAGGACAGATCCTGAAGCTGAGGCTCCAATAATTTGGCCATCTCATGAGAAGAGAAGACTCCCTGGAAAAGACCCTGATGTTGGGAAAATGTGAAGGCAAGAGGAGAAGGGGATGACAGAGGACAAAACGGTTGGACAGTGTCATCAAAGCTACCAACATGAATTTGACCCAACTCTGGGAGGCAGTGCAAGACAGGAGGGCCTGGCGTGCTCTGGTCCATGGGGTCATGAAGAGTTGGACATGACTTAATGACTAAATAACAACATGGCTTGGAAACGGGGATGAGCATCATGCCCTAGAGTCGGGCACGACTGGACTAAATGTCAAGGGGAACCTTTACCTTATCATGAAAAAGCACCAACATGTTAATTGGTTAACAATAATTATGATTGATTAATTACCCATGATTCTGTTTTAACTGTAGAATTGCCATAGTTCTTTGGCAGCCTTGGTATACACTACAATTTTTGTGGTGCTATTTGTTATTTTGTCTCTGGAGATGAAATGTTTTGGTTCAATCCTAGTTAAGACGTACATCTGCCGGACCACACCTTGATCTTGATCCTGGAGTACTTGGTGGGCGGCCTATGCTAGCAGGGAGAAGAATGAAGCAGAGACTGGTAAACTGTTCTACTTCCCCCGTAGGTGCAAAATTCCAGTTTTGAATGTTTCTCCACATTTATACAAAAAGTGCCTTGTAAATAGGGAAAGGAGCAGGAGAAAGATGTTGTCCTTTCAGGTTTCTAATTGAAGGAGATGTGGTTTCTGTTTGGGATGTTTGTTTATAGAAAATATTCAACAGCATGATGCTCAGCTGCCCTTTGAGTTGGTGCGGTCCCCTCAATCTGCTGCTGTCTAGGCCAGGCCTGCCTGCCTCAGAGAAAGAAGTACTGTATGATTGTTACCTAACACAGAGCAAGGCGGAGCTGTGTTGGATTAGGCCTCAAGCCTATTTCAGTATTCAGTACAGTATCTACAGCAGCCTAGTGAATAAGCATGGCAAGCTCACAAGTAAGAGATGGGCACAATAGCACCTCCTGTTGGTGACCCTTAGCAACTAGCATTCAGAAATATATGGCCTAATACTGGAGGTAACATATAGTGAGCAGCTGTTATGAGAGACAGCTGATAACCCCACACTTGATAGATGAACCCACAGAGAGATAGGGAGCCATTATGCTGTTTTTAAATGAGGCAGGTGGTGAGATTCTACCTGAAGTGAAGCAGGTTAGTTCCACTTTTGAAATATAACACTTTCTTGTTGTAAGAAGTTACTTGCATATACTTTCCCAATGATTTGATTATATATAAATAAAAAATCTTATTTGCACTCCATTTTCCAAAGGTTACTAAAAAGTAGTCATAATTGCATGTGTTGTTTTTTTCCTAAAATCCTACAAGCTGCTGGTTTGTGGTGCAGAACACAATGAAGTAGTAAGGCCATGCAAACCCTGTAACTACAGAAGTAACTAAAAATAGTTAAACTGCAAAAGAAGTTATACCTCATTACCTTGCAATCACAGGCTGAAAGCAATGAAAATTAGAAGACTTGACTCACCAAATCCCCTCTGATTCAATGGCTCTACTCTAGTTGTGCCTTATTACTGGATATCAGCCAATATGTAATTTAATTATGTTTTAGTTATTTGAAGGGAAGTCACTAAAACTAACTTCTTATTTGTGAGTTAGCTACTTCCAAGCTTTGATTCATAACTTCAATTTTGCATCAAGTACTTCATTGGGATGGGTGCTGTGATCTCATCTTGGTGACCTTGCTGGTGGTATGAGTGGATTTGTGCTTTCTGTACACAGTCTGTATAAGATATCCCTACATTAGACAGATTCTTTAAGCCTTAGTTTCAATGAAGCATCATAAACCAGTATAATAGTGATCATTGAACACTCAAAGTTTTTTTTTACATTTCATATTTGTTACACACAGAGTCTTTTTGCATTTTTGATTCTGAAGAATCTTCAGATCCTAACCACTTACATACAGTAAATCCCCATTTTTGTTTATTAGCATCCATATTTAACTAGAACGGAGGATTGCTCTGGCCAGTTTGAACTCTGCCATGCATTGATTGCTAGGTAGCATATTTCCCAATTCTCTCTCTCTCTCTCTCTCTCGGAAGGGATTTAACTGTGGAAGGGATTGCCACTCTCTCGAATTGGCCTCCTCAGCCACACTAGACGCTGTTCCAAGTCCTCCATACAGAGCACGTTACCATAGTCTCTCGAGACTGAAGGATGCCTAACTTAATTTAACTGGAACGGAGGATTGCTCTGCCCAGTTTGAACTCTGCCACGCATTGATTGCTAGGAAGCATATTTCCAATTCTCTCTCTCTCTCTCTCTCTCTCTCTCTGTGTGTGTGAATTCTTTCAAGGACAACAAAGGCTTGTAGGTTTTTGAAATATAAACACAAGGCAAATACAAGGCTGCTTTTTTTGGCCAATGGGACCATTCTCTGACTTCCAAGGGGTTTCCCAGAGAGAGAGAGAGAGAGAGAGAGAGAGAGAGAGAGAGAAGAAGAAGAAGAAGAAGAAGAAGAAGAAGAAGAAGAAGAGCTCAGGAAAAAAAGGGGGGGGAGACAAAAGGGCTGCACACTCCATAAAATATTAATAAAGTGCTTTATTGCTCAAAATTAACGCTCCAATCCAGGGAATTTTGCATCTATTTATCCAGGGAAGGATAAATTGGCGGGCCGCGGTGTATCATTTCAAAGCCTGGAAGTACTGTACCTTCCTCTTTCAGAGGAGAAATAAAACAGAGGAGTTCAAGGAAAGGGACTCAAACGGGCAGCTGACTTTCGCAAACGAGCAGGGGCGAAGCCGGCCACAAGGAGACCTTTTGCGGCAACGATGACGCCCTGTGCCCCATTACGGCCAGTGCAAGCAAGCCCTTCGTGTCACGGGGATCGAGGAAGGCACGGGACCGTTCCTTACGTTCGACCTTGCAGGTCACGCAGATTTCTTTGAAAAGCGCCCCAACAAATCAAAGAGTTTCACTAAGTGTCCTAAAGCGCTCCTTCTTTCTCTCTCTCTCTCTCTCTCCGCTGCCTTTTCTCCCCTCCTTAAAGAGAGGCGGGATCTTTGGGCATTTGATCTCCGCAATCCCGCCCCTACCCCGGTGATCCTAAAGTAGTTCCCAAGCTCTCCCTCGTCCTCGCAAGCC